GGTTTTGATTTGTATTTCCATGATGCCAAGTGACATGGAGTATTTTTTCATGTATCTGTTGGCCATTTCTATGTATTTTTTAAATTTATTTCTTTTTAAAAATTTATTTTATTTTTTCAGTGTTTCAAGATTCATCGTTTATGTGCCACACCCAGTGCTCCATGCAATATGTGCCCTCCTCAATACCCATCACCACCCACTCCTAACGCCCCACTCCCCTCCCCTCCAAAATCCTCAGTTTGTTTCTCAGAGTCCACATTCTCTCATTGTTTGTCCCCCCCTCCGATTTCCCCCAACTCACTTCTCCTCTCCTTAACCCAATGTCTTCTCTGTTATTCCTTATATCTATGTCTTCTTTGGAGAAATGTCTGTTTAAGTCTTCTGTCCATTTCTTGACGGGATTTTGTTTGTTTGTTTGTTTGTTTGTTGGTGTTAAGTTTGATAAGTTCTTTACAGATTTGGATACTAGCCCTTTATCTGATAAAATACTGGCAAATATCTTCTCCCATTCTGTAGGTTGTCTTCTGTTTCTTTTGCTGTGTGAATGATTAATATCTTGATGAAATCCCAATAGTTCATATTTGCTTTTGTTTCTGTTGTCTTCAGAGAAGTCTAGCAAGAAGGTGCTGTGGATGAGGTCACAGTTTGCTGCCTGTATTTTCCTCTAGGATTTTGATGGAGTCCTATCTCACACTTAGGCCTTTCATCCATTTTGAGTTTCTCTTTGTTTATGGTGTAAAAGAATGTTCCAGTTTCATTCTTCTACATGTGGCTGTCCAATTTTCCCAACATCATTTGTTGAAGAGACTTTTATTTCATTGGATATTCTCCCCTGCTTTGTCAAAGATTAGTTGACCATAGAGTTGAGGGTCCATTTCTGGGTTTTAATCTATGTGTCTGTTTCTGTGCCATTACTATAGTGTCTTGGTGATTACAGCTTTGTAATATAGCTTCAAGTAGAGAATTGTGATTCCACCAGATTTGGTTTTATTTTTCAACATTCCTCTGGGTATTTGGGGTCTTTTCTGGTTCCACACAAATTTTAAGATTATTTATTCCAACTCTGTGAAAAATGTCAATGATACTGTGTTAGGGATTGCATTGAATATGTAGATAGTTCTAAGCAGCATAGACATTTTAACATTTGTTCCTCCAATCCATGAGCAAAAAATGTGTTTTCATTTCTTTATGTTTTCCTCAATTTCTTTCATAAGTATTCTATAGTTTTCAGACTACATCTTTGGTTAGGTTTCTTCCTAGGTATCTTACTTTTTTGGTGCAATTATAAATGGGATCAATTCCTTAATTTCTCTTTCTTCCTTCTCATTGCTAATGTATAAAATTCAACTAATTTATAAGCATTGATTTTATATCCTGCAAATTTTCTGAATTCCTGTATGAGATCTATCAATTTTGGGGTAGAGTCTTCTGGGTTTTCCACATAGAGTTTCATGCCATCTGCAAAGAGTAAGAGCTTGACTTCTTCTTTGCCAATTTGGATATATTTTATTTCTTTTTGTTGTCTGATTGTTGAGGCTAGGACTTCCAGTACTATTCTGAGCAACAGTGGTGAGAGTGAACATCCCTGTCATGCTCCTGACCTTAGAGGAAAATATCTGTTTTTCTCTATTGAGAATGATATTCACTGTGGGCTCTTTGTAGATGGCTTTTATGATACTGGGGTAAGTTCCCTCTATCCCAACACTGCAGAGAGTTTTAATCAAGAAGGATGTTATATCTTGTCAAATGTTTTTCTGCATCTATTAAGAAGATCATATTGTTTGTCCTTTCTTTTATTAATGTGATGTATCACAATGATTGATTTATGGATGTTGAACCAACCTCATGGCCCAGGAATAAATCCCACTTGGTTGTGGTGAATAATCTTCTAAATGTACAGTTGGAGCCTATTGGCTAGTGTCTTGGTGAGAATTTTGACATCCATGTTCATCAGCAATATTGGTCTGTAATTCTCCTTTTTGGTGGGATCTTTGTCTGGCTTTGGTATCAAGTTAGGGTTAGCCTCATAGAACGAGTTTGGAAGTTTTCCTTCCATTTAAATTTTTTGAAACAACTTCAGAAGAATAAGTATTTATTCTTCTTTAAATGTTCATTAGAATTCCCTGAATGTTGTTTTTAGAGACAATATTTTTAGAACAGGTTTAGCTTTACAATAATATTAAGATGAAAGTGCATAGATTTTCTTTATATCTCATACTTACACATATGAATAGCCTCTCCCATTATCAATATCATTTAACAGAATGGTACATTTATTATCAAGGATGAACTTACATTGATACATCATTATCAACCAACGTCCATGGTTTACCTTCCGGATCACTCTTGGTTTTGTAAATTTTATGAGTTTTTGGCAAATACATAATGACATATATCCATCATTATGATACATACAGAATGTTTTCACTGACTCCAAAATGCTGTGCTCTGCCTATTTATCTCCCCCACACAATCATCCCTGGCAACCACTGATCATTTTACTTTTCCATAACTTTATCATTTCCAAAATGTCATCTAGTTGGAAACATATTATTTGATTAGCTTCTTTCACTTTGTAATATGCATTTAAGGTTTCTTCAGTCTTTTCATCACATGCTGGCTCATTCCTTTTTAACACTTAATAATATTCTATTGTTCTGATGTACCGTATTTTATTTATCCATTAACCTACCAGGACACTTTGGTTGCTTACTTGAAACTCATTTTAAGGAGAAGAAAATTGATTCTGAGAGAAGGAAAAATGACTCCTATAGGCTTATAACTAGCTATAGGTAAACCCAGTTTTAGTATCTAGTCTTTCTGATCTCATACAGTATTCTTTACATCCTTATTTGGACTAGACATGCACTATCCTTGCAATTTTATCAGGTCCTTCTTGATGTTATAATTTACACTTTTGATTATCATAAATATGCTAGTCATCTTAAAAATGCAGATTTTTAAAAAAACCAACATTTCTAGATGTTTTATTGGATTTTTCAGTCTTTATTTGAGTCATATATAAGTGTTTAGAATGCAAAATTTAATGATGTTGAACAAAAACATCACAGGATCATTGTAGTAGCTTTCCGTGGTAACATAGCATAGCAGTATTTGATAAATACTATCCAGAAGTGTGGAGAATTGATTGCACAGGTCATTCTCCATTGTTTATATTATACATCCAAGTGAAGACCAACTACTTAAAAATCACAAAAGGCAGTGATCTTCAGGAAGTCATTTACATTTCAGGAAGGTGATTTGTTATTGAAGTTTAATATTCTTCTAATGACAGTTTGATACATTTTGAACAAACAGAATGAATTTGAATTTTCATTAACTGCTACACAGAAGTTAGCATTAGAGATTAAGCTTAGGCCAAAATAGATTTTTAATTTGAGGCTAATTTACCATTTATTCTATTTCTAAAAAAAAAAATGAATAGGAAGTTTTCCTCGTGAATTTTTCTTCTAAAGAAAAATGTATTCATTTGCTCTAATTTTGAAGTGTATTGCTGGTTTTCCACACAGCCAGAAACAGCTTTCAAAAAAAGGATACATGTATTATAGCTGCAGTAAGCCAAACAAACCATGTAGAGAGAATGAAATTCCATAAAAAAAACCAGTTTTTAAAACTAATATCCTGACTGAAAATCCTTAAAGTATATCTTCCTAATCATCTTCTAATTTCCCCAAATGTATATTTCAAAATACATTTAGTGAATTGAATTTCCTGACCAATTTGGAAATTATCTTAAGGTAAACTTGACTTTTGTTATATATTTAAACTTGGCCAGGTTTTCCTATCAGTGTTGTTAATAATAATTTACACTATTTTTCTAATTTCTATTTTTTGGTATTAACTCTGAAGGACCAAACCAAATCATCCAAATTTAGTCTGCACTTCTATCACTGTTATTGTTGATTTACAAATCAAATATATATTGACTTAATGTATAAGTATTCTTTTCAACTTCTGTGAATGTGACTCTTTTCTGTGACTGTTTCTTTCTTTTTTAAAAGATTTTATTTATTTATTTGACAAACAGAGCTCACAAGTAGGCAGAGAGGCAGGCAGAGGGGGAAGCAGGCTCCCTGCTGAGCAGAGAGCCTGATTCAGGGCTTAATCCCAAGGCCCTGGGATTATGACCTGAGCTGAAGTCAGAGGCTTTAACCCACTGAGCCACCCAGGTTCTCCTCTGTGACTGTTTCAATAAATTAAATTTACAGGGCAGATGTTGTATATCTTACTGCATATATTCTTATTTTCTCTGTTGTTATAGTCAAACACATTTCAAAATTTAAGGGGCTGAGTCAGAGAGAGGAACTGCAGGGGAAGCTGAGAGAAGAGGCAATACCACACTGAAAACTTGCAGAGCCCCAAATGGTGGGCATCCACAAGCCTCCAATCAATTCGCCCCACTGACATACATCTTAGCCCATCCATGCTTTCTCTCTGAGTTCAGGGCCAGGCTGACTTAGTCTCCAGCATGGCCCACAGGCCATGGGATTCCTATATTGATCTTTTCCTGCCTGGGGGACTTCACAGGTCAGGCCTTCCTGGGTCACTCTTCTTGCATCTCTGTCCCTCTGTCTCAGAGGCCCCCTAAATCAATGCATGTATTCCACCATGATCTTAGACAGCATCCTGTTTCTTCCCCTTCATCACTGTCATGACATCTTAAATTATATACTTCATTCATGTGGTTAAAAGAACAAAAAAAATGTAAATTACCTTTGCTTAACATGTTTGAACTGAAACTTACATACTTTCTTTAAGCAACTACAGAAGAAAAATAGTAACAAATTTGTCAGTATACTAGAAACTAATAATCTTTTCTTCTTTATAAGTTCATTATCAGTTTTTGATTATAGGAGGTCACTGACGTTGTGTCCTTTGTGGTAACAAAATGTACACAGCATAAAATTTACCATTTTAAACCATTTTATTATACAGTTCAGTGGTTTTAAGTACAGTGATATCCTTGTGTAATCATCAGCAAAAATATGGAATGCTTCACAAATCTGCATTTTTTATCCTCATTCAAGGGTCATGGTAATTTTCTCTGTATCGTTCTAATTTTAGCATATGTGCTAATAAAGCAAAAAACCATATATGTATGTATATATATTTGTCAGTTTTTAAAAAAATTCTAATTCTAGTATAACTAACATACAGTGCTATATTAATTTCAGGCATAAAATATAATGATTCAACCATTCTATGCATTACTCAGTCCTCATCATAAGTGTATGCTTAATCACTTCATCTATTTCAACCATCACCCCCACCTCCCCTCTGGCAACTACCAGTTTGTTCTGTATATTTAACAGTCTGAGAGGTTATTCTGTTTGGATTTTTTTTGTCTTTGTTCATTTATTTTGTTTCTTAAATTGCACATATGAATTAAATCATATGGTATTTTTCTTTCTCTAACTTATTCCACTTAGCCTTGTGTCCTCTAGATCCATCCATGTCGTTGCATGCCTTTTTTTTATTCATTCATATTTGGATGGACACTTGGGTTGCTTCAATATCTTGGCTATTGTAAATAATGTTACAATAAACATAGGGGTGCATATATCTTTTCAAGTTAGTGTTTACATATTCTTTGGGTAAATACCCAGTAGTGGAGTCATTGGATCACATGTTAATTCTATTTTTAGTGTTTTGAAGAATGTCTATACTCTTTTCCACTGTGGCTGCATTATCCTGTATTCCCACCAACAGTGCAGAGGATTACCTTTTCTCTACATACTTGAAAACACTTGTTATTTCTATTTATTTATTTATTTTATTATGTGTTTATTTACCTTTTTACTTAAATTCCAGTTAGTTTCCATACAGAGTAATATTAGTTCCAGGTGTACAATATAGTGATTCAACACTTCCATACAACTGGTGTTATTTCTTTTTCTTTTTTTTTTAATTTTAGCCATTCTGGCAAGTATGATGTGACATATCATTATGGTTTTTACCTGAATTTCCCTGATCATGAGTGATGTTGAACATCTTCTTATGTGTCTGTTAACCATCTGTATGTCTTCTATGAAAAATGTCTACTCATATATAGTGCCCAATTTTTAATAGGATTGTTTGGGTTTTTTGGTGTTCAGTGTTATAAGTCCATTATATATTTTAGATCTTAACCTCTTATTGGATATGTCATTTGCAAATATCTTCTCCCTGGTGTGCTTTCTTTTTGTTTCATTGATCACTTCCTTTGTTGGGCAAATGGTTTTTGTTTTGGTGTATCCTAATAGCTTATTTTTGCATTTCTTTCATTTGCCAAAAGAGACATATTTAGAGAAAATTTGTCAATGCCTGACATCAAAGAGACTGCCAAACTGCCAAACTGCCAAAGTTTTCTATTAAGAATTTCATGGTTTGGGGTCTTACATTTATATATTTAATCAATTTTGAATTGATTTTTATATGGTGTATGAAAGTGGTCCAGTTTAATTCTATTGCATGTAGCTGTCCAGTTTTCTCAACACAGTTTTCTTTTTTCCCCCCATTGCATATTCTTATTTCTTTTTTCATAGATTAATTGTCAGTATAAGCATGAGTTAATTTTTGGGGTCTCTATTATTTTCCATTGATTTCTGTGTATATTTTTGTACCGGGACCATACTGTTTGATGACAGCAGCTTTGTAGTGTATCTTAAATCTGGAATTGTGATACATCCAGTTTTTGTTTTCTTTTTCAAGATTGCTTTGGATATTTGGGAACTTTTGTGGTTTCATACAAATTTTAGGATTGTTTGTTCTTGTTCTCTTAGGAATGCTATTGGATTTTGATAAAGAATGCATTAAATCTTTGGATTACTTTAGATAGTAGGGACATTTTAACAGTATTTGTTCTCCCAATCCACGAACCTGGAATTTCTTTCATTTCTTTGTGTCATCTTCAGTTTCTTTCAACAAGTTTTATATATTTCAGATCACAAGTCTTTCATTTCCTTGTGTAAGTTTATTCCTAGGTATTATATACTTTTTTTGGTGCAACTGTAAATAGAATTGTTTTCTTACTTTCTCTTTCTGCTGCTTCATTATTATTGTAAGAAATGAAACAGGTTTCTGTACATTGATTTTATCTCTAATGACTTAACTGAATTCATTTATCACTTCTAGTGGTATTTTGGTGGAGGCTTTTGGGTTTACAACATACAGTATCATGTTATCTACAAATAAGGAAACCATAGTTTTTTCCTGACTCAGTTGAACACATTTTATTTTATTTTTCTTGTATAATTACTGTGGCTAGGACTTCCAGTAAATGTTGAACAATAGTGGTGAGAGTGGACATTTCTGTCTTTTTCCTGATCTTAGGGGAAAAACTCTCAGTCTTTCACTATTGAGTATGATGTTAGCTATGAGTATTTCATATATGGCCTTTATGATGTTGAGGTATGTTCCCTCTAAGCCTACTTTGGTGAGTGTTTTTATCATGAATGGATGTTGTATTTTGTGAAATCTTTTTTCTGCATCAATTAAAATGATCATGGGGGAGCGAAGATGAAGATAGAGTAGGAGGACCTTAGGTTCATTTCATCCTTAGAACACAGGGGAACATTTCTTCGAAGCCATTGGCTGGGGTAATGAGAGGGACTGGTTTATTGTGAGTTCTTGCAACCACAACAGGACAGTTGGCTTGGCTGGGAGAGAGCCCTGAGGGCACTGCCTTACTCCTGGAGATAAGACAGACAAACAACTCAGGAACAGACAGCATAGAAACAGAGAACTGAAGAATGTCTGGGGCACACAGATTATTTGCTCCTTTTTGAGTACTTCTGGGTGTTTCCTGGAGAGACAGCATCCCAGGAGAAGCCTCTCTGAGGACAAAGGAGATGACTCATGCCATTTTTCTCCACCATCCTCAACATAAACAAGAGCCACCTGCTGGAAACAACTCAACACTGACACTGGGTGCTTATCCTGCTTACACCAAGTCCCTCCCCACCCCACCTCCAATGCCCTGGTGTGTAACTACCCTTCTTGGTCAAGTTTGCATCTATCCCAGCATGATGGTCCCCTCTCCCAGAAGACCAGAACAAGCCCAACCCACATTATATACATAAAGCCTGGAGTTTTAAGTCAGCAGGCTTGTCTGGTAGATGCCAGAGGGCACTGTGCTACTCCTGGCAAGAAGTCATTCAAACAACACAGAGACATATAGTGTGGAAACAAGGGTCTGAAAAATGCCTGGGACCCACAGGGAGGAGATTATTCACTCTTTTCAGAGTGCATCCTTGAGAGGCAGCATGTAGAGAGATATTTCTCTGGGGGAGCTGGCTGGTGTCACTTCCTTTCCCCATCCAACAACACAAACACAGAACTATCTTCCAGAAACAGCACAGCACCCACACTGGCTGCCTTACTTGCTTACACCAAGCCTCACATTCCTGTGTTCTGCTTTTCTCAGTCAAGCTTGCTTCAGTACTAGTGCAGTGGGCCCCTAACCAGAAACTGCTGTCCATGCCATATCTCCTGACCAGATATTTCTGCAAGGATTCAGTTCTATCAAAAGTAGTATTAATTCTCATTTCACAACTTGACCAGAGTTCACCTGCTTAAAACTTGCCACAGGACCAAATACTGCAGGCAAGGAAAGCCTCTGAAGATGACTGGCCTGAAGAATAGAGCAGCCAAAAAACAACAGCACAGCACACACAACACACACCAGAGACACACTGAAGCAGGAGGCCCTGGACACTATGTGATCTCTTCTTCATAAAGCCATTACTCTGAGGAATGGTAAATATAATGGGCTTTTCTAACACAAAGAAGAAGCAGACACTTAGACAAAAATGTCAAGAATTAATCACAAATGAAAGAATAAGAAAATATATCACAGCCTAAGATCTAAGTTAAACAGATATAAGCAACATACCTGATGGAGAAATTAAAACAATCATAAGGATACTCACTGGGATTGGGAAAAGAATGGAAGAATTCAGAGAGGCCCTTACCATAGAGATAAGAGTTAAAAAAGGATCAACCAGAAATGACCAATGCAATAATAGAAATAAGAAACAGGCTCAATGCAATGAACACAGGGTTGGAAGAAGCAGAGAAATGAAGAAAAGATGTAGAAGATAAAATAATGGAAAATAATGAAGCTGAGCAAAGGAGAGAAAGAATTTTGGAACATGAAAATGGATTTAGGTAAATCAGTTACTCCGTCAAGTTTAATAACATTTATACTATAAGAGTACCAGAGGAGGAAGTGAGAAGAAAGTGGGTAGAAAACTTATTTGAGGAACAATACCTGAAAACTTCCCTAATATGGGAAAAGAAACAAATATGCAATCCAAGTGGCGCATACACACACCCACAAAAGCAAAACAAAACCAAAAACAAAAAGCCTCCTATCAAAATAAACGCTGGCCAACACTGAGACATATTGTAATTAAATTTGCAAAATATAGTGATAAAGAAAAAAATCTTAAAAGCAACAAGACAGAATTCTTTAACTTACAAGGGAAGACTGATAAGGCTAGCTGAAGATTTCTCAACAGAAACTTGGCAAGCCAGAAGAGAATAGCGTGATATATTCAACGTGCTGAATGGAAAAAAAAAATCTTCAGCCAAGAATACTTTATCCAGGAAGGCAGTAATTCAGAAGAGATGGAGAGACAAAGAGTGTCCCAGACTCATAAAAACTAAAGGAGTTCATGACCAATAAAAAACCCTGCAGCAAATATTAAAGGGAAATCTGAGTAGAAAGGAGAGAACATAAGTGAGAAAGAAAAGAAAGGAACAGAGGAAATCTCCAAAAAACAATGAAAATCAAGGAATAAAATGGCAATAAAGGCATATCATTTGATAATTATTCTGAATACAAATGAAATAAATGCTCCAAGCCAAAGACATGGTGTATCAGAATGGATAAAAACAACAAAAACAACAAGATACATCTATATGCTGGGTATAAGAGATTCATTTTTATTTTTATTTTTTATTTTTTTATAAGAAAACACTTATTGAAAACCTATCACATCTTTTATTTTTATTTTTATTTATTTACTTTTTAATTTTTATTTTTAAATTTATTTAAATTCTATTAATTAATTTACAGTGTATTATTTTATGTTTCAGAAGT